TCGAATACGTGGCGCAACTTACTAGTGTAGAGCGTGTGTTGGACTATACCAAGGTCGACACCGAAAGGAACCTATTTGACGGACGTAAGTATAGTTAGAAAATTAGTAGCCTTCTGAAGTTTTGCAGTACATTTTCATCCTAATTGCCTATGTTTTTTTGATTACTGCATTAATTATCGCAAATTTTGATTTTACTAAAATTTGGGTTTAGCAACTTGTGTCTGTTACTAAATTTAGCTGAACTATTGTTAACTTCCGTTGGTTCATAAAAATTGAAATATACATAGTTCGTATTAATAATGAAACATGACTGCTTATTATAATGATAACGATCATCGTGTGACAACCCTAGAGAAGCCCTTTCGTAAACAATTTGTAGTATTCAAGGCGGCAGTCGGCGTGCTCGGTTGTAGCGAGCTTGTCTTCAAACTCAAGGGTTTGAATAAGAAAGCTTTAATTTTAGGCCAAGGACGTCGTTACACGTGCCGTGGAAACAAACTAAATATGTATAATGTGAAATATGAATTTTTATATAACGTAAAAATAACTTTAAATACCTACAGCAAAAGCTGCTTTAATGTTATTAATGTGATTTGGAGTAGACGGAAATGAAGCAGCCGTTTGGTTTGGCTTTGCTATCGAGAGTTTGTACAAATATGTTATTGTTTCAGCGACCCCTATCCCTCCGACTTGGCCTTCGGAAGGGAGAATCGTGTTCCAAAACGTGAGCTTGCGGTACGCTCCCGATGAAGCGCCCGTGCTTAAAAACTTAAACTTGGAGATAGAGAGTGGTTGGAAGGTAGTATTCCCAACAACATAATGTTATTTTAACCCCTTGGAGAGTTCCATAAGAATTAAAGTATTTTATTACAAGTACACGTACATATTTTTAGGTTGGCATAGTGGGCAGAACTGGTGCGGGGAAATCGTCCTTGATATCAGCATTATTTAGATTTTCTTTCATCGACGGAAAAATATCAATTGACGGAGTCGATACCGCAATTATTGCTAAACAGGTACTTAACTAGTTTTTTTTTCTTAAAAATACATTTACATATATAGGTTCACATTAAATAGTGTGTATCGTGTAAAAAATACTTTTCAATAGGTTTTTATTGTTAATTTGCCCCATGGCATAACATAGTTAATCTTTATTTTCAGGGCTTACGTTCTAAAATATCCATCATTCCGCAAGAACCGGTCTTGTTTTCAGCCACAATTAGATACAATCTTGACCCATTTAACATCTACAGCGACGACGACCTCTGGAGAGCTCTAGAGCAGGTAAACAATTCGCAGACAATGAATGGAATAAAAAATAGTCATAATTTATTTCTATTGTTCATTTTACACGTATATTATTTACAGGTCGATATGAAATCGGCGGTTCCTTCGTTGGACTTCAAAGTGACCGAAGGAGGTGCGAACTTCTCCGTCGGTCAGAGACAACTGATGTGCTTGGCTCGTGCTGTGTTACGGTCAAATAAAATATTGATAATGGATGAAGCCACTGCCAACGTTGATCCACAGTATGTATTATAATTGTCTTGTATTTCATATCTACTCTGTTGATTTTTACATGATTATTTTTTTCTAGGACGGATAATTTCATTCAACAAACAATACGTCGTCAGTTCGCATCGTGCACTGTACTCACGATAGCTCACCGACTCAACACAATTATGGACTCGGACCGTGTCCTCGTAATGAGCAGCGGCTCCATCGCTGAATTCGACCACCCATACATTTTATTATCGGATCCCAACAGTGCTTTCTCCTCGATGGTGCGAGAGACGGGAGAAAAGAATAGCCGTCAGTTATTCGAAGTTGCCAAAGAGGCGTATTTAAAGAATAATCTGAAACAGAATTTAAGATGATCAATAACGAAAGCTTGTAAGGAATTAAAGAGGCTAAAGAACATTCAGAGCAAGTGTTCGATGCGCATTTAATATTAAATTGTATAAATAGGTTACTTTTTATAATGTATATGATTATTAGATAATAAACTAAACTAGATAATAAACGGATTAAAGAAAATACCTTGAGTAAAAACTATTTACCATGTTATAAATTTGAGTCGTGTATTTGTAAATACATGCTACCGCAGTCATTAAATAACAATGAGCATTTATAAATAAAAGTAATAAATGTCACTGTAAATATTAACTTATAAATAAATACTGTACCTTAGCGGTTAAACTGATGATTGTAAAGTCAGAGATGATCAGACTATGATTTCACATCATAGTAATAAAGGAATTCGAATATAATCGTCTTATTTATTTTACCAACAAAACAATCTCCTCCGCGGATGGTAACATCGATAGAGTCGATGTGATAAATATATTATCAGAACAACCAACGTAAAGAAAAACCAAAATAATCTACTATTACATCGTATGATGTTTACAAATTGGGAGTCACATTTTTCACAACTCATAATTGTTTATGAAATACATTTCAAATTTAATTTATTTATTATTTTATAATCATAACTGATTTTTTATTTATTTCTTACATTTCCTAAATGACAGCTGTCGTGTTGACAGTTACTAGTATCAAATGAAATAAGGTTTTATATGCCTTGTATAGTCTATGGTAGTTTAATATTGAATTTTATAGTTATTGATTTTACCAAAATATCTTAACATTAAAAGAACCATTTTGTCACCTACCATAAATATGTAGTTTGGATTAATTTTATTAATCTTTTTATCTTAATCTCTTGAATCATTTTTGGACTACCTAATAATGGAGTTTCATTGACTGAAACTGACTCGTAAAATTGCAACGTTAATCGCATGTAAACGTATACTAGCTATAAAGTTCTGTAACAAAACAATGCTGGATCATATCTACGAAGAACATTAAACCCACCCTTGGTCTTATAAGAAAATATGTGTTAATACTGTACCTTCTACGTTCAGTTGCATTGGTCACTGCAACGTCGACAGTAGCAGCATTGATACAGGGACCACAATAGATATAATATCACAAAGATCAGTATCCCAGATATGTAATACACGTGGAGGCTGACCGGTTTTAAAGCTTGACAACAATCATCTTCATCGCAACAACTCATTATTAAAAACAATATAATTTTGCTATTTTTATCAACATGGTTTTGTTAATTTAATGATTCTTTAATAAAGTAAATTCCACTTCATTTTATTTACTGTCTCACAGAGCATTGTGTGTATATTCAAGATTGTTTAGTTGTTTAAGATGTGATAAATATGTGACAAATATGAACGATATTTGACAGACTTCATGACAGAAAATACAAAAGTGACATAGATAAGAAAGCTTGGTTAAAGGTCATAGAATGTGTTTTTTGTTCTTTGCAACACTGCAATAGCAAAAAAACGACAGTAAAGCCTCCTAAAAAGCTGATGGTTCTGCGTAAATCCGCCCGTATAACAGGGCAGTGCCACAAATGCGTTATAGGGAGTTCTTTTCTTGGAAATCTCGAAGTTGGTAGTATTCGAGTTAATGGGGGCTAATTTTTGCGTTATTTAGGGGTACTGAATTTGCGTTGTATCGGTTCGCGTTGTAAGGGGGTTTACTTTGTAGCAAATATACTATTTTTTTTTCTATTTACTTGAATGCGCGATTTGCATATCCAATAAATCAACATCACACAAAGAGGTATTAGAAATAAAACAGTCACATTTCAAAGAATATCAACACTCGTATATTAGACTTAACATTTACATTTCATAAGTGAGGCAGTGATTTGGTTAATTATTATTTACAAGCTTGTATTATAAGCGTAACCACTGATTTTCATATGCGCATACTAAATGCAATTAACTTCCGTAAACTTACAATGTACCTACTTGAGCTGTATTAATAAACTTAGCGCTTATCACTCACAGTGCCATTCTTCTCTTCACTTTTCACCTTTGGATAGAACACCAAGGTTTACATTTTATCATATCACTTGCAAAGATACTTATTCCTTGTTGAACTATTGTTAAGTGTTTTCTGATATCAATAAGTTCCGCATGTAGTCTATTCTATAGATAATATACTTAAAATTTCACTGGCGCTTATGAACAATGTATATTTACTGATACAATACGCGTGTAATTCCGCTAAATGATAAATTAAAAAATATTTAAATTCCCTATTATGCTAAATTCTATTGTGGATTTATACTATAATATTTCGCTTTAGCTACTTCAAGCAACGCTTTCATCTCTCCTGTTTCCCGTACCATGGAGGTGAACTTGCTGTTAGGGTTTTGTAGGAGACGGTATGGGTAGTCGTATTCCACCACTTCTCCTTTATCCATGACTAGGACGCGGTCAGAATCCATGATAGTGTTCAGACGGTGAGCGATGGTGAGTACCGTACACGCTGCGAATTGTTTACGAATCGTCGTCTGGATTAAAGCGTCCGTTCTGAAATTATTAATTTCTTGTTACCATGTTTCTTATAAAATGACGTATTGAAAACTTGTTAACTGGCAGCGCAGGTATCCATCTAATACCTTCTTTGATTTGGTGAAAGAACATTGGAGAATACTTAAACCCAGAAGTGCAAAAATATGGGCTTATGAAATTACTTAAATTATTGTAATAATGAATTATGAATACAAGCTGGCTTGACTACGTTCTTGTTTACTCACTGAGGATCAACGTTGGCAGTCGCTTCATCCATGACAAGAACCCTGTTAGACCGTAGTATTGCTCTGGCCAGGCACACCAACTGTCTTTGACCCACGGAAAAGTTGGCGCCACCTTCCGATACTTTAAAGTCCAATGCAGGAATTGCGTCTTTCATTTCCACCTGAAAAATATATTTATCTTAAAATTGCAATATTCTTGTCTTCTAGGTTGTGTCTTGTCGAATGTACATAAAATTAAACTTCCCTTTAGAACGTAATTTAAAAATTACCTGCTCTAAGGCTCTCCATATGTCATCATCACTGTAACTGTCAAAAGGATCCAAATTATACCTCAGCGAAGCAGAAAATAGGACAGGCTCTTGTGGTATGATTGAAATCTTTGATCTGAAAATCTAAAATTAATATAAAATAACCATATTGGGAGTAAGTAGGTTTCTTGTGAAGGCAACTCACTGTATTAAAATACAACTTACTGATTTTCCTACATCACGTGTATCTATTGAATCGATTTTTATACTTCCATCAATATCTGACAATCGGAATAAAGCCGATATAAGTGAAGATTTGCCTGCTCCGGTCCTGCCAACGATTCCAACCTGAAATTGTGAAATATATCGTTACACTTTATTCTATAGTAACAGATTGAAAGTATTAAAAACCACTCACCTTCCAACCGCTTTCTATTTCAAAGTTCAGGTTTTTCAATACCAAAGGATCTTCAGGACCATATCTCAAGCAAACGTTTTCGAAGTTTACGCGTCCTTTTGAGGGCCAATCCGGTGATGGTTTAATAGCTATAAAAATATTAACGTTATAATTTCATAAGAAATTTACATATTGACTATGTATGTATATACAACTGATGTTCTCACGTCCAGTTTCCATATTTTCCTCGGCGGGTAATCTTGAATATTCGAGCACTCTTTCAACTGAAGTCATTTGGCCAAGAAAATCAGCAGTAATTCGGGCGGCCATTTGCAAAATCATTGTCAGAACCATAGATTGACTTACGGCCAAGCCTATGCTACCAACGGGTATGACGTTACCTGTATGGAATAGATATGACTTTAAAGTTATGCAAAATTACTCTATGAAGTACTAAAATAATATGCATTTCAACAAATCTGTGTAATTCTATTAAAAACTCACCAAAATCGAAGAGAAGGAAAATGGTTATGATAATTGCGAGATAAATCAAACACAAAGCGTCCAAGTATAGACCAAATGCAGCAGAACCACCCAGGAAAGTGTAAAATGCACTAGAATTAAGGTCCTAAAACATCAAAATGGCAATAAGTATAATATATAGGTATAAGGATAACATGACACACATGATAAATACAAGAGAAAAAAATTACCTGTGCTTGATCAAAAATTGTGAGCAGCCGTTTTTGTGAGTTAGAACTTCTGATTGTTGACAATCCAGCTATAGTCGAATTGATCATACTGAATACGGGACTTTTGGCTGAAATAAACCAATAAAACATGAAATAGTCATACTCAGTTCGAAAACGAGAAGTCAGATGAGTACCAAATGCTTTTTGAGGTTGAATGTCAATTTAAATAACAATTTGTACGTACTTGTCCCTTCTAATCTCTTCACGGCCTGTGAAGCTGAAATATACCATTTCAATAGGAACAAGAAGATAAATAGCAAGACAACCGTAGGTATCAGAGTCCATGGTAGTGCTATGGCATTGAGCACTAGAATACTTATTACTGATAGGTACATTTGCAGAGTTTCCAAAACACTTCGTGGTAGTAATTCGTCCATTGCGCCCATGTCTTTCGAAAATCTGTTTAAGATTCTACCTGTAAAATATTACAATAATTATGTTAATCATAATGTAGTTCGTAAAAATGATGCGATTCAAATAATGTTATTTACCAGAAGGGTTCGTATCGAAAAATCGCATCGAAGCATTAATGAGATTTTTAAACACGGTGTTATGAAGATTCTTGGAAGCTCGAGTGGTCATTGTCACGAAGGCGATTATCCTCACTTGGGTTATGATAATGATAAAAACTATAATGCAGCCGTAGATTAACAAGTATTGTCCAGTAGTCAAAATGCCCATTTGAGTATCCAAACTGGGATCTGAAAGAAAAATATAAAAACACGTAAATCATGTGATACTACAATTAAATTAAAGCTAAATTTAGAAATTATCATGTAAAATTATAAACACAGATATAAAAATTACCTGGTTCAACGCCCTCAGGTAACGACTGTTCATGTAAATCAACTTGATTAGTCCTGTAACAAGTAATATTTTATTATCACCTAGTAGTAGGGGCTACGGTTTCCGCAATTTCACTACTAACGGATATTATCACCTATTTTTTAACATATTCACGTATTAATTCGCGCTGATCTATTCACTGAGTGAATATCAATGTGTGTTAATTTATTTAAAAAGAATTTTAAACAGAAGTCGTGTCAAAATTTGTTTATCAAGCATCCAAACCCTTTATTTAAGGTTTATTCGTTAAAATGGGAGGGCTAGATGAGGTAAACTGTGGCGGCAGCTGAATAATTCGATGTAAAAAGTAATCATATTTTCGTACCAGAAACTTAGCCAGTAATCAGCCGTCGTCGCCGCTGCTTGTGTCAAGAGTAGTGCAAACAGTGCCATGGCCACCGCCCACACTGACTCTACAGATTTAATGTAGTTTGCGATCACACTCCATTTCAAAGTACCCTTAGCTCTCTCTTCTGCATCTAATGTTTGTTTCTTTTCTTCCTCGTCATCTTCTTCGCTTTTTACGGAAATTCTTGATAATACTCGCTCCACAGTTGGACGCGTAGACTACAAAAACATATGACGTTATACATATATGTATATGTACATATATATAATCAAATAATTAAGAACAAGTTTAGGAGAAAAAAAAATCGAGCATTTTAATTTCAGCTACAAAATCAAAAAGGGGTACATATTTTACCTTGCCTGTACCATCTTCTCCTTCAGTATTAGATTCACTTAGACTGGCTAGTAACAAAGAAAACTCTTTTTCAGACTTTACTAACTCATCGTAGGTTCCCATATTCTCAATTGCACCCTAAAAATAATTATAAACATTTAGTTATTTTCAAATTCGGTAGGTATTAAACGCAAACAACTTCGACAGATAAGGTGTGTCCAATAATCTTACACACTCGCTGGTTTTATACAGCAATAAAGTTGCACTTTTCTTTTGAACTAAAGATTGTTTGTAAACTCCACACAGGCAAGATCCGGGGAATTCCGTTACTTAAATATGGAGATAGAATAAAAAAATTAAGATGAATAAATACTTTTATACGTACATCATTAAGAACTACAATGTAATCGGCAGCTTTCAAGAAGTGTATCTGATGAGTGACTAGGATACGGGTGCTGTCACGTAAGTAACCGTTGATGCATTCGTCAAACAGTTGGCGGCCAACATTAGCGTCTACAGCCGACAAAGGATCATCCAACAAATAAACATCTGCCTGAAAACGTAAGAAGATTTGAGATTCCACAATCAAAAATGTGGTATTAAAACGAAGAATATTAGGAAAGTGATAATAAATTATGTAGAGTACTTACTTCTCTATACACAGCTCTGGCTAGGTTGATTCTAGCCCTTTGTCCTCCAGACAGGGAGACACCGCGCTCACCCACTAATGACTGATCTCCAAAGGGAAACTGCTTGAAATCTGGCATCAGTGAACACACTCTGCATACCTAGATAAATAAAAAGTTTGTATATGATATTTAAACTAGTTGTAATCAAAATAAAGTGGCCGTCTTACCATGAAAATAGTAGAAAATGTTGAAGTAGAAAAAATGCTTTTTGTTATTTTTACCTCCTTATATTTACGCGCGTCATACGGCAATCCAAACAATATGTTGTCCCGAACGCTCGCCGGAAACAGCCAGGATTCTTGGCAGGCGTAGGACAGTCTACCGTTCACGTTAAAATTGCCCTCGCATATTGGAAACTCCTTTAAAAATACTTGCAGCAAAGATGACTGAAACAAAATAACTTTTTAATCTAGTGTCAAATTACTACGGAAATAGTTTTTTTTTTTTAAAATAAAATACATTGTACTACAATAGAAGAGTCACAACAAGAGCAAGGATCTACTACGACTTCGCAGAATACTGTGATGTCATGTGGTGTACAGTTTGGCAATCTGTGGCCCCTTATTCTTCACATTTGTAGTTACTATAATAACAAATTTGTTTACTTTGCCACTTCCAACAGGTCCAATAATAGCGCATAATTTTCCCTTCCGAACCCGCATTGATATATTCTTGAGAGTCATTCTGTCTTTAGAATTAGTCCACGACGCACTCACTCCATACATCTCCACCGCATTTTCAAACGGAGCATTAAGAGATATTCTTGGTTTATCTGAAATTTAAATATGTTCGTATAGAAACCACAGACACCGACAACTTGTACTATATTATTGAACTAATGGGTTTTAGGCAGCATATATGCCATTTTTCTTTTTGGCGCATATTCAACGATTCTTAAATAGGTTAGTAACGAAGTTAAAATGTAATTATAAACAATAACATTGGCTTTAAAATCTTACCAGCTGGTCTCAACGCTGATTGTTTGTCTAAAGATACATATTTTGCAGAGATAACTGGATCAGAAGGCTTCGACATCTTATTACCGTTGAAAGTTATAGGATTTACCTCGTTAGTTATACCGTTTAAAGCTTTTAAATCTTCTCTTTCTTCTGTGGGCATAAATGAGATTTAAGAGGATGTTCATTTCATACAGGTAAGTAACATTAAGGGCCTATCCCATCACTTGCTGATAGAGGAACAGATAGGTTAAAAGTGACGTCACTGTCAGATAGCGTACCAAAAATCTGATACTTCCATCATATTCATTTACACCGTGGATTGTTATTAATTTACAATTTAGTGGGACAGAGACATCTTTAAAAACAAAATGGTATATTAAAGTTTTCTGTTTCTATCAAACATCTTCCATTAAAACTACCCAGACATTAATGTTTACTCTTAGCTTACTTTATTAAAATTTCATAACTGTTTTATGTTACTAAATTACTTGTTAGTGGGAATAACCTTACCCATCATAAGAACTCCTTGTATACGTTCCAGTGCTACAAACATTTCCGACAAACTTGCTATTGCTATGGGCAGAATGAAAGTTAAATTCATTTGAACGATATTGAAAAACTGTTGTATCGGATATATCTGAAATGAATGGACATTTAAGAATAAAAATTTAAAAATCGACTAATACAATACATAAGAGGATGTCCTAGCATGTCCTAATAAGGTTACATTATAAAAGTATAAGATAATTTTGATAACACAATCAACGCATTATCATGAAATGATATTCGACATTAAAACTAAAATCCATATGAAAAACTTTCTAGTTTTAAAAACCTTGTAAACTATTCAAAAACAAGAGTTTTGACATATATAATTTAAGGCAAGTGGGAGATGTTTATGACAAGAGAGAGTTGTTTAAAACAAATGGAATATGTTTTTACAAAAGCATAATCTTTGTCATGATATCAACTTGCTCTTTTAATATGAGCCTAAATATTTATCTACTGTTATCGATCGTCCGCGATTCCGTCCGCGTGGAATTAGAAACAAAAGTGAGTAGCCTATGTGTTCTTCCAGACTATCCTCTGCATCTATACCAATTTTATCGAAATCCGGTCAACCGTTTAGGCTACAAACTCTATCTAACATCCATCCATCTCAACTTTCTCATTTATAATAGTAGTATGAAGTATGATTTTACAAATTATCTTATAAATTTAATTATTTTCATAGAAGTTTCGTAAGTCGTATGAACAAACTGATATTAGTTGATACGGTATAAATACACGACTATATTATTTTAATTTAAGTGCTAAAGTACAATATCAGTGTATCACAGATGATAAAAAAATATCTGGTCATATAAAATAACTTATGACATATTCACGTGAGTAGCCATATTAGAATTTGTATCATCAATTCATTTAATAATGACAGTACATATTTTAAAGATTATGCAAAGTCGAACAACATGATACAACAACTGCGTATGTAAAAAATACAATCTATGTGTGCCCGATAATTAGCTATTGAAAGATAAAATGTGCTGTGTAATAAAAATCTATCGATTAAACCATATCAAAATAACATGAATCACTATTTCTTAGTTTTACAATTGCGGAATCTGACTAATTATTCACTAAAAGAATATTTCCCAAACAGACTTATACTTTCCAGATTGATAAAATAATGACTTGAGCAATTAAATAAACGCATGTATGGATAAAAATGACATCAACAATGCTCGAAGGCGCAAAATTAATGTAGCAAAAGCGACAGCGGTGTATCAGAATTGCGCGAAAAGGTCTGTACGTGGTCTCTGCCTACCTCTCGAGATCGTAACGGGTTAAGTTGTTGACTTCGTCAGCAGGGTCTTAAAAAGAAATTTTAATTGACCTATATACGTATGTGTTCTTCTATAAAATGTTGCACACCTATACTAAATTCTATCCAGATTAATAAAGCCGTTCTAGAGGTACTTTGTAACAGACATCCATCCATCTATGTAAACTTTCACTTTTACAATACTAGCATGAAGTGTGATTGTATAGATACATACCGTAGTGGCGGTGAGTACGGAGCCCGTGAGGACGATTGTAAGCGACGTGATGAACAACGTGGTTCGTTCTGTAAACAACATAAAACCAACGAACACGCTCCGAACAAAAATGGACCTTTGCAGAAACTTTAGTTCATTAATCCGAGAAAGTCTGACCATTGTCTGGAAGGGTTTTTCCCATGCGTACATTTTTATGACCTGTAAAAGATATTTTATATGTTAACGTTATACGAATCATTCTAATCAATCTAATTCAACAAACAGAATTTATACATATATATTTATAAATTGTAAGTGTTTACCTGAATTCCGTTTATAAATTCATTCATCAACTTTATTCTCTTGTCGGTTCCCTGCGCGGTCGCTCGTCGCACGATAGAAGTCACTTTAGTGAGAGCGGCTAAAACAAAAACAAAATGTATTAAACATGCAAAACTAAAATTGGGAAGCTAGGATAGCAAGCAAAAAATTACCTTGAACGGGAAGAACTAAGATAAATACACCAAAAAGTCCAACATACGGTGCAAAACCAGCTGTATAGTAGAGTAACACTAACACGACACACAACTGAATAGGTACCAGCCAGAAGTAATGAAGGAACATGAAGGCGAAGTCAAATCTGGACACATCATTCGATAGCAGATTCACAAGCTTCCCTGCTGCCACTTCTCCTAACGAGTTTTGACTCATTCTTAACACCTATAAGAAAGAAAAAATGAAAAGTTTAATTACAAAGGCATTAAGTTTAGTAGCGAATAAGAATTATTTTATAAGTACCTACAATATTACATGTAAAAAAAGTTACCTTTCTGTATATTAGTGAGGATACGCCAACTTTAACTTTTAAACTGAAACTGTTGACGAACAGTGCGTTGTGGTGATGGCATATAAAGCCGAGGAAGTTAAGACCCAGCATCCCTAAAGCGTAGTAACCTGCTTCTTGAGCTGTCAACGATGATTCCACAGACCAGTATGATAAGAGCTGAGTGAATAGCAACGGCTGTGCAGTCCTGTATACAATACATGTGATCACCAATTTATAGCGAAGGTTACATAAATTTAAGGATGCATAAATGAATACCGTCAGTCGCATAACATTTACTCTTTATTTACGAGTACAATATACGGTTCAAGGTTGGTAAATAGTTTTTAAAAAGTGATGTATGATAAAGATATTTTTTTAATACACACCTTGCTGCTGTATTGACTAATAGTAGAAAGGCTCCGGGCATGTAAGCCAGCCAGAATGATCGAACCATTGCTTTCCAAAGCGAGGGTTTTTTATTATTACGGGCTGCATTTTCGACTTCTGCCAACCAATACCTAATAAAATAAAATAATACATCATTAGTCGCCAAGTTACAACAAATTTATTGTTAATTATTACGAGTATGTACACTGAGCAACTCAATGATTATTGAGTTTTACTTTATTTTAATTATCCTAATTAAGTTATCTAATCTTAATTAGTCGAACGTTTAAACAAAAAAGGGACATACAGTCGTGGTTAGAACACTAGTCACTAAATTACATTTGTTTTGCAAGGTTCCGACAACATTAATAGAAAATATTACATAACAAGATTAGAGTTTGTATGCTTTTCAGATTACGGTACAATATTTACGAGAATTTGGCTGATAGAAAACTACTTTTAGTGTTCCGTAATGGTTTATATAATTTACGTTATTTATGACAAAGTTATTTGTAATCTGTCAATTAGGATTCAAATGAATAATTTTCGATCACAGCATCCAAATGAAGAAAGATGGGATTTAAAATCTGAAATGAAAACACACTAATAAAATACCGATTACATCAAACTATAATATTTGAGAGAAATATAATTAAAATGACTATATAGTCTCTATAATCAGGCAATTAATTTTGTTTGGTACAGATCGTAGGGATATATGGTAAGTAGGTACTTTGGAACTGTACTGTAGAAACTCGTCTAAACCTAAATGTAACAGAATCGTAAATTTTTCTGAGATAGTATACTGAGTAAATGATTCTTACTTATTGCGGTTACACTATTGTTAACTAATTTACTTATTATGAACTAGAAAGAGATGGATGGATTGTGTGAAAGGTGACATGATCAAGAAGGGAGTGATGACTAAGATGATGGGTGATAGAGTTATTTGGAGGACGAAAACGGATAAGGCAGGGGAGATAATGAATGACTGAATGATTCACAAGATTTCAACAAAACTCTATAATAAATTTATGCAAAATCATCCTTCAATAGTACAGGTTTTTATATACCATCATATTTCTAATAAAAATTATTATAACCTATCTACCCACACTTTCCTCTTATCACGTAATCATTTATCATATGACTAATACATGAGTGTAATGTGACAAAAGACTATTCAATTAATACTCGTATACTGATAAAACATTTGTATAGTAACACGATATTTTTCGTTAATCATATCATATAGAAACAAGTAAAAAACATACACCATAGCTACAAACCCCTCATCGTAAACAAGAAGAAGGCAGCTTCGTGAATAACGCAACGAAAATCATAACAAATATTGCATATTAGGTTTCACTCGCGACTCCGAATTAAAAAAACAAATGCAAGTAGCCTATGTGTTCTTTCAGACTATTCCCTACATCTATGCCAAATTTCATCGAGATCCGTTGAGCCGTTTGGGCTACAAACTCTTACGAACATCCATCCATCCATCTAAACTTTCGCATTTATAATATTAGTATGATTACGCTCAATTGATGTATCATCCTCGCAAATTGTCTATTTCATCAAGATGTTCAAGCGTAAATGACGCGTAGGGACAGATAGCTGATGACTGAGATAACTGTAGATTTATTTCACGACGAGTTTGATAAACAAATTGCGAGCGATAGGCTGTAGCGATGACTGATAGACTTGTCAAATATGCATGCCAGTGTACGAACATCTATTGCATTGTATGTGACTATTAGCGACTAAAATCTGCAGATATGCGAAAATTTACATCGCTTGTAAAAACAAAAAAACATCGTTTGTACTTGTGTTTGGACCTAACAATAAAATGATGTTTTATTTTATTGTCAAGATACAATATTTTAATCATTATGTTCTAGTTGTTAATTGATAAAAAAGGCACACCGGTACTGACGGTAAGCCACCTTCTGGGGAGAAAATGAATCGATTGATTTTTCATCCGGAAACTTCGGTTCAGCCATTTATTCTGTAGTATACAAACAAAGCGCCGGTTGGAACCTCCTAATCTATACATTTATAATACATGAAGCTAAACCTTTTTAAGGGAATAGCGCTATAAGATGAACGCTAAATTAGATACAAGTTCAGCTGGAGAAGTAATAAATATGTGTACTTATTGTTTATCAAAATATAAAATCTCTGATTATAAATGATGGTCGAATTTTGACCACAAATATTCTTTATCTGTTTTCTACATCTTAATTACTTTATCGATAAATTTATGTAATTTTGTAACATTAGATAAGTAACAGTTATAATGTTACACAATTTCTCGCAAATCTTCGTACTAGCTCTTGGGTTTTTGTTATACATAGATAACACATGTGCTTATTGGAGTAATTACTAACGAAGGTAAGTAAAATTTCTAACCTAGTAACTAAATTACTCATTGACGTTATAACAAAAATTTTTGCAACTAACCAAAGTAAAACATTCGGTTATAACTAATAATACTCCTTATATTATGTTTTTAAACAATTTTACCATCTCTGACCACATGTTAACGATTCCGGCAGTACCGGCTTCATAGTCGAAGCGACCAAATGTCTCGTGCATAAAAGAGCCACAGGCCTAAGTGCACCACGGACGCCTAATTTTGTATGGGTTTGTATTGCAGCTAAGAAGAGCAGTATAAATATCGTCTAGGGCGCCGGCTCTATAGCGAATAATATTGACAAAATAATAGACTACACTAAATAAGCGTATTACACGTAATTTATCGCACCCAATAGATATCGTAGATGACAAATATGTAGATGATATCGCCGAGGTCGTAAGAGACCATCATTATTAGTTTCGATAATCTATATTTATCTTCTATGCATATAATAAAGTTGAAGTGTCTGTTTGTAATACCAAAAAAAAACAGATTTCGGGAATATGATGTACTAGCTTTAGAATTAAAAAAAAACAAAAGTGAGTTCCCTATGTGTTCTTCCAGACTATACTTTACTCGTACATCTATGTCAAATTTCATCCAGATCCGTTCAGTCGTTTGAGCTAGAAACTCTAAGTAACATCCATCTTTCACTAAACTTTCACATTTATAATATTAGTAAGAAGTAAGATTTGCGTTGCTGATAACGAAAAATCGCATTTTAAAAATGTTTGTTTGTCCATCTATCTGTCCGCGAGCCGCGTTTGTTCCGGGCAATCTTAGAAACGGCTGGGCCCATTCCGTCAGGACTATCACTGGATTGTTGCTGACATGGATAGGCATATTATAGGCTACTTTTGTTAATTCCGCGATGTCAAAATCGCGAAACGGGTGGTCCAAATTTGCACTAACGAAGTTTGCGGGCGACAGCTCGTAATGTCATAAACATGTTGCCATGGAAAATTGAGTAATTTAAAACAAAACATTTTTTATACTTAAGTCAGATTCGACATCTAAAATTGGCAATTGAAAGGTAGTTGAACACATGCTATGGTAAACCTACAAAGCAGGAAAATTATAGTTATTGTAGAAGAGGGGTGGAAGTTCGTTGAATGCTCGTTTCAAAAACTTGAATATACCCTTTGCTGTCTGTAATGCGTGTAACTATTGAAGTATTTCTTCCTGTCCTTATTAAATAGAGCCAGAACAACTAAAATCAAATTTGTATAACAACTATAGATCAATTGCTACCGTAACAGACCAAAATGAACCTTTTCCGTAATGGCGTTAGCTAACTTTCGGTTCGGGAATTATTAACATCCGTTTAAAAATAAATATTAAAAGTTTGTATATTCAGATTTTTATTGTAAAGCGATTAAGCCATGTTTGAGGATTTATGTAAAAAAAAATGGAAACGTAGAATTAAATCAAGAAACGTAAAAAAATATATGTCCAATTACAAGGTAAGATTTTGTAATTTTACTGTATTGCATAATTTATTGAGCTGATTGAATTAATGAAAGAAAAAAATAATGGCAAATTTCGTATCACTCTATCCTGGTTTGGTCTCGGGCGACCACAGATCGATTTCCTTGATGTGGACGCCCTTTGCCCCATTTCGGGAACAAAGGGCAAGAGATAATTTCGAATCATAAACTTCTATATACACAAGATTTTTATTTTTTAATATACTACGACTAACAATACAAAATGAGTACGTAAACAAAAACACTACAGTGCGACAAAGTTTTCTGGCACAATAGGTAAGAATTTTTGTCCATATACATACCACACATTTCTTTGCTTAAAAATGTATCAGAGATAACAACATAGCTCTTATGTGGGTAAGTTTACAGAACTATAATTATAAATTATCGAACAAAAGATTAAAATCTTACCTTTCAAACCTATCTCCAAGAAGATCCGAATCATATTTTTTGGGGGGATTTATCAAATCACTTTCTTCGACATCTCTAATATTTCCTTTATATATCACAGGTAACACCCAACACAAGAAGATTCTCGATAATATATTGGGCTGATTTCTCTTTTTAGTGACGTTTTCGTCGGCGTTTTTCACTTTTGTCTCCATTTTGTTTAACAAGCGCACTTGCGTGCGTACATTAAATGTTGTGCGGCACTGAACGTGCACTGACAAAAGAATAGTACATTACAAGTAAACGAGTATTTAATCGCTTAGACCCAATACGTAAAAGATATCAACTGCTATCAGTATGATTAACCTATAGGATAAATAATGTAGTACAATGTTTTATGTTCATCGTTAAAAGTATAAAATAATCCTTAAGCGTAAAAAAATAGTGCCATTTTATTAATAGTCTTGGGAAATGCAAAAAGTCAAATGATTATATAATAGTTTATAGGTTGTTGCTTACAACGTGATAGATACAAAAGATATATACAGATATTTCTATGTAATTACTAGCGTGTTCAAAATAAAACATTTTTTTTGAAATCAAGATTTTTAATTCCACAGTTCAATTTTATGCAAAGCGACAAAAACTAATTTTAAAATGACACCGTTTCATAATGTATCGGGCATACATTAGGGCATAATGAGTCACAGGTGCATTTGCAGCTCTCTAATTTACGTTCAATATTATCTATCAACATTTTGACATGACAAATAGGCACCAGTTCACAATCACAGTTGTCTGATCTATCGCTAGGCATTAGAACATCATCGCTGTGTAAAAGAGTTTTACTTTTCTCACGATTCGAAAGGTAGTCTATAGGTAAATGTAGGGAGTCATAAAGTTTGTCCTTATGCGTAGATGCTTCGGTAACATTTTGACTGTAATACGATTCACAATCGTCCCATTCATTGTAACTTGAATATTCAACGTCATCGAAAGTTCGAGATGTATTTGTGGAATTATTTATGCCTTGTTCTAAATTTTGGGTCGACATTTTCAACTTAATACCTTCATTGTTACGATTCGCGTCTATTACTTTTTCGCAAACACAGCTATTCTTCCTGACCAAATCATGGCTATTGTAATCAAGGATTTCAATAGGATTTGTGTTTGAATTTTCGCCACTAGCACCTTGCATTATGTAGGACGTATTTACATTTTCCTTAGCTTTCCAAATATTATCTTTATAAATATTTTTCTTATTCGCCAACACCGATTTTGCACATACACACGGACCTAACATTTTATCACAGGTGCAATCTAAAGTATATCCAATGTACGGTATAGAAAGATTGTGTCTGTCTTCTTCAGTATTGGTTTTTTCTTTTTTTTCTGGTGAAATTGATAAAAATACTTTTTCATCCAAAATATTCTGTAAACTGAATGTGGACGTCAATTGACTTGTTAAGTTTTTACATACAGATTTGACTTCTGTACAATCACAGTAAAAAGAGTTTTCTTTTCCTGTCTTGTCTTGTCCACTTTTAACTCCCAATTCAGTTAATTCTGTGCTTTTTATTGCCTTTGTCTTTAATTGTTCAGTTTCTGTCAATACAGAACTAGCTATCTCTTTGCTTTTAATTGTGTTAACACTATTAGGCGCATTACAAAAAGAAATAAGTACTTGACTATTTTCATTAACAATATCTTTTGTAAGCATTTCATTTATTAATTGGTTCTTGTTGTTTTGGTTTGTACTTTCTTGTAAGTTATATTTACCTGTATTGAATGTATTTCTGTCAACGTAAGTACGTCTCAATTTTCGAAAATCATCTTCAATCAACTGACAAACTTTATCTAATATCCCAGGTAAGACAGAATTAGAGTTTTTAATTGTTACAGTACATGAACATGTGATTCGCTTAATTTTATTTCGTAAGTATTCTTGCAAAAGACTGGACGCACGTTTCCAGCTGGCGTCGATATTATCACTTTGATTATCTTTTAAACATTTACACAAAGTTTCGTCATTCATGTCTAAAATTAATTTCTTTACTTTATTTATAATGTCGTTATACAAGACGTCTTCCTCGTAAGGTAGCATGTTAGAAGTTTTATATGAAGTTAGTTTAAAATCTTCTAGCTTTTTCTGCAAATATTCTGTTAATAATTCGAAAGTATTTAATTCTAAATCATCGCATTCTTCAACTTTATTACAACAAATACAATTCAGCTTTTGGCTCAAAATTACGTCATTACTTTGTGATAAATTTTCGTACTGTTTACCATTCGAGCTTTGTTTTGTTATATCCAACTCAGTATATTGGCAATATGTTGATGAAACTACGTGATGAGAAGTACCTTTCTTCAAAAGTTGATTTTTAGAGTAAGTACTGGTACTTACATTATTACTTTCATTGTTACTTAACGTAACTCCTAAAAATTCTACTGGACAAATAGAATAAAATGAGCTTTCAGATGACTTTGTCATTTGATTTGACTTGGATTTTAGATTAATACTGTTTTGGTAGTGACGCGAAATAAAACTTTGCACGCTAGTATGTGTGTTACAAAATAGCGATTCTGCATTTGTACACTTGTGACTTCTCTCAGGAATTTGACACTCTTGCTGATCGTTTGTTATTTTTGCTACAGTTATGTTTTCTTTGGTCTTGCTCTGTACACTTTTTTCATTGAACGTATGTTTTCCATGATCGCCCTCATAACAAAGGCTATCGTCTACCTCTTTGCAGTTTACTTCATTTTTACCACCTTCGTCTTCGAAACTATTAATATGTAAAGAAATGCTAGGATATTTAATAAAAGAATCGTTATCAGGATTAATAGTTTCGATTAACTTTGATTCAGGTCTCATAGATTTCACTTCGTCAATAGTACTTGTAAATATATCTTTTTGTAATTTTACGGTATGATCGTAATCACTAATTAAGTTTTTTAAGCTCTCATTATTAACAAATTCAGATGTTTTAAATTCCTCGTGTCTGAAGATATCTAATAATTTATTAATCGAGGTACATGAAGGCATTTTGTTTAAACATTTGCAGTCCCTTCCCGAACAACTCACTTGAAATGGCTTATTGATATTTCTTTGATATATTTCTATAGGGTTATCCACGAAATTGGATATTTCAAAAGGTAGTGTATTTTTGGACTCAAAGGACGAAGCCACTTTCTCTGGGTCGATTGCAGGAATAGAATTTTCCTCTTTTACAATGTTAGGTTCATTAATTAGGGTTGTAGGTAGAAGAACAAGGGCATTCTCATGTTTTTCTTTTTCACATAAACACAAATTAATTGCATAAGTTTGTTGTCGTTTTTTCGAATTTCTATCATTTTTACTTGACGTGCATTGATTAATATTGTTTTTATTAGGTACTTCCCTTGATTTACTTGATTCTAATAGTCTTTTCTTCGTAGCGCTTAGCAGCCAATTAGGTAAGTTATCATTTCTCTCTGTACTGACTGCTCTGTGATGATATATTTGATTGATGTTCATTACATTTCCAGATTTTTTAGATTCTCCTAATGACAAATTATTGCTTGCTCCCTAGAACATGTAAGGTGGTACAAAAAAAAATCAATTGTACCAAAGAATACTATTATAGTTTTCAAAAACTTACGTGTGACCGCAAAAATTTGTTACTGGTTCTGTCTTTGGAAGGCTTCAAAATATTTTTCTTTGTCACTCTCTGCAAATGATAAGTTTTAGTCATTTTTTACATAACAAGGATGTATAATAAAAAGCATATACTTACTGATTTTTTGTCCATAACTTGGGTGAATTGTAATTGTGTAACATTTTTTAATGTTGTATTCCTTAGAGTAGAACCACTTTTGAGATCGTTAGTACTTTTATTCTTAAGACTTGATATATCCGTTTGTGTCTTTCGTCCGCCTGGATTGTCAACATCTGTGACGTAAGAAAATATTTTATGAATCATTACTTAATAAATTTCATTTAAATTCATAACCTTGTATAAAGTCGCACATACTTGACTGAGTACCACATTCACAAGGCGGTGGTGTTAATTTTAAAACGTCTTTTGCTTTTTCCATCAGTTCATCAGCTTTTTCTTGGAATAACTGTTCAGCTAATTGCTTTGCCATTTTTTGAGCCCGATTTTCTAAAGCCCGTTGTTGCCATTCCTCCAATTCGACGCCCTCCGGAATTCTTGATGTCTCGTCCATACATGATGCGCCAACCCACTGAACAATGGTAATAATGCTTAATTATAATTCTGATTCACAGTAATATGAGAGATAAAGTAATTCTCTAAATTTATTTAAGTCAATAGTCAAACAGGGTTACAAATTACCTTAACATGATATTTCTCAATGCTGGAACCTATTGCGATGTCGAGCTCACCGACAAGCAATTTCGAAAAGAAGTTTCGTAGGTTCGTCTTGACTGCACTCGACCGGTCCCAGTTGTGCTTGTCTTCTAAACACTTGAGCAACTCGCAAGGCATTACTGAACCATTCTCACTTAGCTCAGATTGCAATCCCGCAAACAGGTCTTTCAATAAGTTCGACATAACGCTGCTTCTTACTGAGGTACAGGAACATGATTCCTAAAATTGTACCATACCATGGCTTTTTACTAGCATAACATTGACAAAATAATCTTGTATGGATAAGAATGCGATGTAGAAATATGCAAATAGGTTTTCTTGGTGTGGCTTATCAAGTCGATTAGATTTTTAAAATTTTGAAGGTGAATAATGTCAGTATTTATTTCCCATTCCATATCTAGCTTATATTATTAATACGAAAGTTTAGATGGATGGATGGATCTTACTACGTATCTCCACAATGTCTTAATGAATCTCGTTGAAATTTGGCATAGATGTTGAACTTAAGAATAAGTACGACGTACGCTACTGATTAAGTTTTTTCCCACGCGGATAGAGTCGTGGGCGACAGATAGTTTAGTATAAAAGTAATTGTACCGGTATATGTTCCTCCGAACAACATCGACAAATCGCGGCCAACGATGGCGTTCGTTTGACTTCGATAGAAATATCTTGTGGCAACTTGCAGCGACATTCTATTGCTTTCTCCTTCAATTCTGCAAGTTTCTCTGCCTTCGATTTCAATTCTTTCTTTTTACCTTGCAGAAGATGATCACACATAATCTTACAGGCATCAAGATCTTCAAGAATATTGCATTTGTTGACTCGCATCTCATCAAGCTGAAATAAAGAATTACGGTCTTAATCATAGGATTTATATCCATTTTGGATACATTTATAAAAACAACTGCCAATAAGTTCATAGAGTGACGATGCAAAGCAAGATTATTTTAACAAATACATTATACACGTCACTGCAACGTAACGCACAACGTCACAACGCAGTTAGTCGTTAGTCATAGTTTGGATGACTCAATTGCATATTATGCTGCTACGGAAATACTAATAACTGCAAATATCTAATCAATAAACTTGCTTGCCTGTATGTTTTATCGAAGAAAAAGTCAAATCGAGTACACACAATATATTTGTGGTGCTAATTACAAAAAGTGACAATAAATTTATCTCATCGTAATTCGCGTTTTTTTTTCAATAATTTCCGAATCGGCTTGACCGACATCGAGGGGAATTCTACTGACAGGACCAATATAGGGGATTTTTTTTTAATTTATAATATTATGAATGTTGCAGTTCTTACTTTTTTTTAATTCAAAAAGGTGACGGTTCTACTTTCGTACAGATAATGCAGGAATATTCTTATAAGTACCTCATTTTTGATGCTTTGATTTTCATTTTCTTCTTGTAAAAGTCGTTTAGAAACTTTTGCTACTTGATCTTTTAAGGCACTTAGTTCAGTGCGTAATGCTCTCTCTGTGTCGTATTTAAGTCCCCTGTAAGAATTTGCAGTTTCTTCTAAACTAGTAACTTTTCTTTTAGCTTGTTCTTCTTTATACTAAAATAAATAAATCATCTATCGTTTATCGTTATTGTAAAGACGTAACATAACTAACCCGACGTTTTTAAAAAGAAAAAACGTTTTATTCCTATGTGTACAATTAAAGAATATTTTTTCCATTTAAAAAATTGCTTTTTTTTTGCATTTGGCTTGGTGTTATTACGGGCTTGTAAATAACACATATAATCACTCATTTAAGTACGAATTGTGCAATTTAAATAAATGTTTTTAACATATCGTTCCACATCAGAGACAAAGTTAATAACAAATTCATTGGAATTGTTACAAAAATGTAAATAAATTGAAAGATAATTATTACATTCTACGCAGTTTTCTAGATTAAGAAAATATTGTGACATATTGACAGCACTTGTAAAACGGATCATTGATACGTGATGACCATGACAAGTCAGACTCCTAGCCTAATGCCGAAGTATAAGATCTTGAATAATAGTACTTGTAGATACTTACTAGAAGGTCCCTTTCTGTCTGCGCGATGCGGCAGTGGTGCTGCGCTAGAGTGGATGACACCGCCGCTATCTCTTCGCTTAATTTGAACTTCTTTTTTGTCCGATCACAAAGATCCGATTCAATTTTCTTTAATGTCTCAGTTTCTTTGTTCACAATCGCATCTCTCTCCGTAAGCTGTTGAGCCAGTGACATGCATACGGTTTTATAATCGGCACGTTCGTCTATTAAATCCTTTATCTAAAATGTAGGAAGTTATTACTTTGTGAAAGTTATAGCAACCATAGAATTTCACTGCTAGTATGACATCAATTAGCCCAATAAAAAATTTTCCCCGGCCGAATTATCGGTTGAAGATAATAAAAGGGACGATATGGTCATTACTAGCTCACTATACTTCCCCACTTAGGGGCTCGGAGCCTATCCTAATGAAAGATGACTAGGCCATAGTCAACCACGCTTGCCAAGTGCGGGTTGGTTGACTTCACACATATCTTTGAATTTCTTCGTTGATATGTGCAAGTTGCATCATGATGTTGTCCTTCACCGTAAAAATGTCGGGTAAATTACGTACATATGACAATTCGAAAAATCACATTGGTACATAGCGGGATTCGAACCCAAGACCTGCAGATTACAAGTCAAGTGCTTAAACCACTGCCACCGACGCTCGACTATGTGGTAATTTTATTTAACTAGTATGTTTTAACTTAGCAGAGATTTATATGAAACATTAATAATTGAACAAACTTATTTCGAAGATTTAAAAAAATAAGCAGATTTACTTAATTTTTAAGAGTGATCACTTGCAATAATCTGCTAATCCTTCGTAAAAAAAAACTTCCAGGAACTAGGAACCAGAACTTAAAGGACTAGAGGAAATAAAAGTTATCAAACGTCTTGTATTTTCTGCCTTCAAACGTCGCTCGTATAATGCTTACTTTATATCTTTTTCCTCGTTATTAAGAAGCGCTAATTATGAGACTATGAATGGATGTTTTGTAAAGATATTCATGCTAAATTTAGAAATAAATTAGCTCAGTAATGATAGTTTTAATTTGTTTAAATTATCCGAAAAAAAACTAATGGAATTGGTACGATTACGTCAAATAAAAATGAACAGAGTCGAGTAACAATTTTCGTGTAAACATCAATACAAATAAAAATAGCAATATTGTAACATAAATATTTTGCCTAACTAAAAGTAAATAGAAGCTATAAAGATGGCACTTTTCATTTTGCTGATAAACATTGTTTATTTTGTATGTGTTCAATAAGTGTAACGTTTTTACCTCGTACAAAATCCAATATTTTTAACATAAAGATGAATATATAATTTTATTTCTTAGTATACCTGTTTTCCTATATCATGTTCTTTGTCCTCGGCGACCTTAAGTCTTCGTACATACGCTTTTTCTAGATCTTTCCAAGCGACTTCTGCACGTGTTAGCAATTTGACTCGCTCCTCTTCGCGCTTGCCGAGCTGCCGCACGCGTTGTCTCAGGTCTGTGGTCGACTTGTCCATTTCGACTAGACGATCTTTGCAAGGTGCAGAACACGGCTTAAAACAACATATACAATAAATATCCGAGTGGATAGAGTTGAAGACCCAAGCTACAATTGCACCAGAATTCAAGTGAAATGCATTAAAGGTAAAATTCATTGCTTCTTCAATTGCTGAACATGACAAGCAAGTGTAGGCACTCACACGTTTAGGCAACAGTTAATGATTCACAACAGTAGCCTTCAACAAGATGGGATTAAGATCTAATCAAGGTGAGCCAGCGATTCTATTCGAATAATTTCCTTATTTAACAAACACATTTGCAAACTCTATAAAAACCACATCTATTGACTTCATTGCTCCCTTAATAATTAACATTTCTAACCTTCGATTTGATTACGATCGATATTTTTAATGCTGCTTTCCATGATAAAATTTAGGAAATCACGGGAGAAACATAAAGGCATATTTACAACGTATATAAATATTGATATTCATACAAATACATAAGTCACACTAAAGTGTTATAATCGTATATCAAGTAATTATAAGTAAGGAATCAATTAACAAAACATAAATATACATTATTAACGTTTAAGAGAATTATATAAATTTACAATACCCACATATTGAACTAATAACAGGTAAGAAAATATTGAACGACTACGCATTATATTTATTTAATAAGCGGTAAATGTTGAACAGCGAAGCCTTGTGACGTATGACCTTCGGGGACATCAGCGTCTTGGTCTAGATTTTTCTTAATAACTAAAACGAGCGTCAGGTAAACCGAGTTCAATAAAATACATAATAGTTGGAATCATATTTGCAAATCAATCGTAATAGAATTGCATCATTCGATTAAACGGAATCGATACATAAACAAGTTAAGCGCAAAACTAACTACAAGTGCGAAACAGAAAAAATAAATGCGAAATTTTAGATGGATAGATGTTTAGTCGTGTTTGAAGCTTAAACTGCTGAACGAATCTTAATGAAATTTGGCATAAATGTAGACGATAGTTTAGAAGAATACATAGGCTACTTCTTATCCGATCTATGATCAGTATAAACAATACTGATTTCACTCGATTGCTGCATCTGTTGCTGGAAAATGAGATAAACAAAATATAAAGACAAACTGACCTCTGCAGGGTCTTTCTGAGGTATAGGACTTGAAGGCTTTTGTATTTTTTTTATTGAAGGTTTTGGTTTACACGTGTTTTCGCATCGCATCACTATTTTAGTTTCAATAGGCATGGACATGGGACGGTAATGTGGGTACATTTCTTCCACGGAGTCCACACCGTTCGATATAATTGACTCTTTATGTCCAACTATGACTTCAGATGTGCGAGACTCTTTAGATGTGCTAACAACGTAAATATCTTCAGTCACCACTGTACTGCTCGTATTTGCACTACCTTTGTTTAAATTGGATTTTATGAATCTGAAATCCAATATTTCAAAAAAAAACTATTTAGTCGTTTATTTCCATCGATTTAATATTAAACATTAGACACGTGATATTAATTTTATGCATCACCCAGATCGTATTCAATAAAAGTGTAGCCTTAACCGTGACATAATTGCAATGTTACAGCAATCCAGATAAAAACATCTCATCTCCGTGACATTTAGCATAATGGATTCACAAATGCACCCGCATCAATTTAAGAGGATGCGCCCACAGTATAATTACAGAATGATTTTGTCGGAGTCGAGAAGGTATACTTTTTATTTAGATTGAAGTTTATTGATTATTTAAGTGGGAAATAAACGTTTTAATACATTTTTTTAAATGTAATGGCAAGTTTTTAATAAAGAGCAATAGGTTGGGGATTCCCAACGTGCTTCTGTGTAGTATATACCGGTATAAGGTGCTCGCGTCCCCCTGACCCATCTTCTGCCAAGCGAGGATTGCGCACGCCAGGTGTCGTTCCTCTGACAGTTGAGATGCCATCGAACTTGCAACCCAAGAATTTGACTCAAGGCGTTCCTGTATTGTTTTAATCTTCGACTAAAAATCAGATGAAAAATAACATATAAACAAAGTATCTACATGCTATTTTCGTCTGAGGTAATGTGTTACATATTAAAATATTATATTTAACATTATAGTTCAAAATAAAATGTTAAAATTGACGTTTTACCTTTAAATCTATGTTAGGATTGCTTTCTAACACTTTTGATATATTCCAAGCTATAAGCGAGTTCATCGATGCAAAGTCCTCGTCAACGGCGGACGTGTCAGCTTTTCTTAGGCTGGGACATTTTCTAAACAACTGCATAAATAATGAGTTAGCAAAGTTATTTAAAGAAATCACAAATTAGTAGTTTTGCTCTTCTGGCGCTGACACTTATACTTAAGTAAATTATAAACAACTTTCGTAAAAGTCCAATTCTATCCCCTTAACTTACCTCATTACAAGATTTGATATTGTTATCCATACTATCCAAAAATTTTATCAATTTCAATTTTTACTTTTTTATTTTTTTTCTTTACTAAGTTCATATCATAAGTTATTCTCTGCGTCAACAGTATTTCATTTTGTTTTTCTAATACAGACAATTTTGCAACAACTGTGATTTTCTGCAAGGAAATATTATTTTGAAAACTAGTTTTGTCTTTGAAATGCTGTCGTTTTGACGTAAATCAAATTCTTCTTTTTATTTCTATTTTTCTATGTTTACAAAGTTTTCATTATAGGCTTATTATTCACGGCTTCATCTCTGTTATTTTCCTAGCCGCGCACAAAAGGCTTGCAGATGACTCCCCCTAACACCGACTGTGCCCCGCGCTCTTCTGCTCAGTGTCGCCAGTTCACGGGTGACGTCATCAATCCATCGGCAAACCTTCTACCTACAACTAAAGATTAAAAAGTTAACAATCGAGATCCTGGACATCGTTAATACTTGCGAATTTACCATGTTAAAATCTCTGATACCAGACAGATTGTGGTCTTAAAGTATTTAAATTAACTCTTAATAACTAATTAGCTTATCAGAGAATTAGGTCTGTGGAGCTCATTGGCGCCCTCGAGACGCAGTGCAAGATATCGCATTCCCCGTGAAATGGAAAGTGGACCGACGACGCTCAGTCGAAATATTTTACCCGTTATACTCTGTATTGGGGTCACATCTCAACTTTTTGCAGGAGCACCGCCACCGGGGCGGGACATTCACCGCTCTACGTACCCAAAAAAACATTCATTACCGCGCAATAAAAATGAACTTCGAATCAAATGGACGCCTTAATTTTCTTTACTGTAACGCTAAATTAAATATTCATAACGCTCCTAACTGCGTCATACTTTTTACAGTGCTGTAGAATAAAGTATGCGATTTTAATTGCGTTAGATAAAAAGAGTAGTTTGTATGTTGTACAAAGACTTATCCGGATGTCGTAAATAAAAACTTATGGGAAATTTGGGCAAAGAAAAACATACTGTGTCGCTAAAGGTAAAAATAATTTAGAAACGTAAGGTCGTAAAATGTCAATAGCCTAATAACCAATACTTTAAAGAAAGGTCAATTTTATCATCACAGCAGCTGCAAACGCAGATGCTGTTCTACACGTGTCTTTTTTGTCTCAGACCTTAAAGTCGTCAGACAACAAAGAACTTCATATTTATGTTATTACAAACATGTGAACGCGGTAATGCCTATTTGCATTCTGGTGATCGGAATTCGTTTTTTCAATACGCGATTAACAACTCTAAGATACCGAGGTACAAAGGCATACTAAATAATGAAAATGTAGATTTCTCTAATACTGCATTTTAAAATTAAAAACATTCTTGGTCATGTATCGACAAATAACTTTGTGTATTAGTACCATCATCTGTATTTTTTAATATCTAGTTTTCTATTTGACCCAATTTATTTGCAGCTTAGTGTATGTAATAAAAGATGAACATTTTTTATTCAATAACACATATAATGTGATCATTTACTTTCGTAATTTTAATTTCCGTCATGTTGACTTCTTTCTACATGAATTCTTTTGTTATTTTTGTGTCCGTTAATCTGGTAACCTGTTGTTTACTGTTTGCTTTAAAAAGTCTTAAAAATTTCACCCGACTGATACTTATCCTTATATTTTAATAATGTACTCATATTTTTATGTCCCGTCCATTGTGACAACGTGTAACCTAAAAGGCTTGAATGTTTTGAAGAATGAAATATTCCGGTAGACAGGTAGAGTCAATCTTAGTGTCTATTCACTAAGCTTCTTGTTTTGGAAGCGTTAGCCTGGCTGTATAATAGTCGTCGTCGCGCAAGTGGAAATTGTACATGCGACTTTGATACAAATGATGATTTTACGACCGGCCACGGTAAAGTGAAGATAACTACAATCTTCCAATGGTTATTATGAGAGATAAAATTAAATATGAATTTGAAGGGTTTCTCGATGGAATGAAGCAACGAGACGGTGATTCATCATGTAGCGTAAGACATCAGTGTTCAGTGCACCCATTGAAAAAATATAAAAAAGAGAAGGGTCGATACTCCGGCGGCGCCGACGGCCGGTTCCCACTGCTAACGGTCCGAGCCTTCCAAGTATAGCCAGCATTAGCCCCGCAGCAGCTATTTATAGCGCGGGCCCCATATCAACCGGCTGCCTGCGTTCCTCATGTCTTGTTCACCTACAATGTCTATTTCAATTGATATGCCAATAAAACCTATCGAGATCTGAAAGTTTTTATTGTGTAATATTTACGACGTGTTCGACAACTTTAGTTCCAAACATAAACCTGTATGGTGATTTATCAATAACTATGATGTCAAGCCCTTTCTTCTTCATCGACTAAATAAGGAATACAATGAAAATTGAACATACGTTTCTACTGAGACTGTCTACTGACAACTTTTTCTGTTTCATCACGTTTTCATCGAGTTGTCGAGATGTAATGTAAAAAGCCTCTGAAACTATGTTTGTAGCTTCATTAAAAGTTACCATAGATTTAGTTAGCAGGGCTGGCGTAACAGATGTCACATAGCGTAATGCATCAGTTTATATTGTTTGTGGCCGTGGTCTTCTTATTGTTTTTATATTTGTGTCATTGTCATCACCAACAACATCTGCCCATTGTTGGACTTATTTGATAATAAGGATTGTCGCCTTCCGCATCCAACGACTTGTCGCCATACGCACTAAGTCGTCGATCCACCAAGATGGAGGACTTCTCTGACAAAATAAAGACAACGTGGTAAAACAAAACCTACTTTATAGATTTAATTTTAATACAATTGTATCTAAATAGATAACTTTTTTTTTATATATGAGAAGGGGGCAAACGAGCGGCGGGAACACAAAGGTGCTTCTGTATTATGATATTCTGCATTGCATCTAAAGAGATCTCTCGATTAAACTCATTACATGCAAAGCGTATACGTAACAAGAACGGGATTATTACGAAAATGTGTCTAGAGAACATAGTAAAGTAATACATTTTCGTTTTAAATTAATAAAAGATACTTTTTTTTGCTATTTTACGTGACCACAGCAGCATTTTGTTTTTACGTTCAGTAAAAAAAAAATACTAGCGTTCTTAACAATTTCTGGAGCCTGTTATTTCGTCAATTAGTTCAATTATATTTATCTCATTGTTGAAGTTATGACAATATAATTCATATTTATTAAACGTAATATTTACCTTACAATTTCACAATTTCGTGTATCATACAGTTTAACATGTACAAGACAAGTTTTAATTCTTTGATTACAATGGAATAATACAAAACTAAATTAAACATCAGGAAACAAACACAAAACACGTATTTATTTAATAATTAATTTAAGACATGCTGTAAATCCAATGTAGTGATAAGAAATTATCTTTACAATATAGAAATTAAGAGTCATCTTTTGCCGATATACGAATGTGATGTAAAGTTACTGAGTACTTTAATAATTAATATATACTATTATAATAAAGCATAAACACACATTACTTTGTGGCGTAGGATGTAGGAGGAAAGGACGCCTTTAAACTAAGGAGTTAAATAAATCGCAAAAAACCTTCATGTGAGAAAGGGACCATAAACTACGAGCTGCCAACATCAAGGAAGCAAGGTTGTCATTTATGCATTTGAATTTTGACGTTTGACAAATATAAACAATAAAATAAAGTTATCATAATTTCATGCGGATGAAGTCGCACGGGACAGCTAGTTTAAATATAAAGCAAACCCCAGCTACATTTGTATGTTTAACTAATTCTTCTAGTCTGAGCAGAGATAATAAAAAAATGTTATATCTAAAATTATGAGATTTAACTAAAAGATAAATTCGCTGCAGTCGCAAAATTATATTCTCTTTAATTTGTTTTATCCCACCCACCTTCACTTGTTTTACATAGATTGCGAGATTTTTGCGATTTTCTTCGGGATCACAAACCAAAACGTTATGCATCGTTACCTATCGCGTTTATGATACATCTTTTTGTGAGAAAATACATAAAAATATGAAACAATTTTGAATACTGCAAACACTTCTTTAAGGTTATTAATTTTCGTCATCAACAATAACACTTTTCGCTAATATTTAAGTGGGCTTTATCAGTAACAATATAAATTAAAAAGTACATTTTTATTTTGTTCATAATTATTAAGCGGAAACTGATATAAAAAATGAACAATGTTTATCATGATTATTATTTAAAGAGGTCCCTTAAGTCGGTTTCCACTGAGAAAAATTCATTCACAAACATATTGTCAACGTCTCATGCTCTCCGTAAAATATTGTACTAATAAAAAGATCGAAGGTTGAAATTAAAAATAATTTAATGAATCTGTAATTAAATAAATTTATGCTGTATTTAGTTGTATTTCAGGATAACCATTAATTACGGGACATCCTGTATACACATACACATAAATTCTGCCGTATAAAACACTAGCTGTTCCCGTGCGGCGTCATCCACATGAAATTATAAAAAAATCATTTAATTTTTTACATTTGTCAAATTATCAAATGTCAAAATGACATAACAAACCTTGGCAATCTTGCTTGCTTAATGTTGGCAACAACTAATGGTCTCTTTACCACATTAAGGTTTTTATCCAAAATATCTATCCCCTAAATTTAATGGCGTGAAAATATATAGCCTAAAGCGTGACGTAGGTGTAGGGCTTTTTATTAATAAAAAGAGTTATTCAAAAATATGCTGTAATTGCTGACATCTTGGGCAACAAAGAAGTGTATGTTTACGCTTTATTATAATAGTATAGAGTATAGATTAGTGTATTTGAAAAAACACACTTTGTCCCAAAATATTGGAATTGTCGATGTCAGAAACTTATAAACTTACAATTACATTTCTGAGTATTCATGTAATAATCTTTTTGTATACAAGAAGGTGATTTATTACTGTGCGAAGTAAATATTATGTAACGTAACTGTTTACATTTAATACAGTTTATTGTTTTCCTGTTTGATTACGAAGCCAAGTTGACTGTGTTGTAAATTATCTCGATGAATGAGATATGAATCAAATTTTTGATTGTCATTATCTATTAAAAAATCTATGTCTGTTTATTAAAAAAATCTCAACTTTCGTTTTAATTTCATTTTTTTTATCTTTTATGTTGTATAGACACCGTGAACGTTCTAAAATAATTCATTTTTTTTCATAATACCCGA